AATTTACCATTTCAACTTTGTATATCCAAATTATTACTAAAGAGATGAACTACAAGCCGTGATGAGTTGTCCGTACCGAGTACTAACGTACTAACGGTATTTTTAATATTAGATAGCAAGGCACTAAGGTTTGAAATGCAATCAGTTATGACATTAAGCTTCTATCACATAAAAAATTTAAGAAGCTAAGATGATTTATTCTTGCAAGTTACTAACTGACCTTATTACAATCTACATTTACTTTCTTCTGTTAGTTAATCTGCCTAGACCTACTTTATTTTCCTGCCTATTTTCGCTAATTTGTATTTATAGCTTATAACTAGTTTTTGTCAGTGTGTTTCTGTGTTGTTGTACGTGTTACTTTAAGAAGTCTTAAGTACCTGACACCACTAGTCATTACAGTATTCAAAATCCTTAGGACAGCTAGCTAGCTGCTCTTAGCCTGGTGGTTATTTTGCACAGCCATGAACTTTATGTTATTTGCTTTACTACTTTTTTGTAATTTAAATTTAATTTAATTCAGGGTGCAAAATGAAGTTGTTGTTGTTGTTGATGATGTTGTTGTTGTTACTGGCTAGTACGCTAGTATGCTTGTGCTCGCTAGCAAGTTGTAGTTAGTACGCTAGTGCGTAGGTATTCATGTTCGCTCAAGAGTTGTAGTTAGTACGCTAGTACGTAGGTATTCATGCCAGCTCGAGAGTTGAAGTTAGTATGCCAGTACGTTTGTATGTAGCTATTCCTGCTAGCTCGAGAGTTGAAGTTAGTATGCTAGTACGCTTGTACATAGCTATTCCTGCTAGCTTGAGAGTTGAGGTTAGTACGCTAGTACTTAGGTATTCATGCTCGCTCGAGAGTTGTAGTTAATACGCTAGTACACAGGTATTCATGCTAGCTTGAGAGTTGAAGTTAGTACGCTAGTATGCTAGCATGTAGGTATTCATGCTAGCTTGAGAATTGAAGTTAGTACGCTATTATGTTAGTACGTAGGTATTCATGCTCGCTTGAGAGTTGTAGTTAGTATGCTAGTACGCTAGTACGTAGGTATTCATGCTAGCTCAAGAGTTGCTAGTACAAAAGTATTCATGCTCGCTCGAGAGTTGTAGTTAGTATGCTAGTACGTAGGTATTCATGCTAGCTCGAGAGTTGAAGTTAGTACGCTAGTATGCTAGTACGTAGGTATTCATGCTTGCTTGAGAGTCGTGCTTGCTTGAGAGAGAAGAGTGTGCTAAATAGGTACTGTTAGTACTGTAGTACTGATGAATAAGCAAAAATCTACAGAAAAGCATTCCTATAATGGGCAGCATATGAAACTATTGGTTGAACAAGTTTCAATTACCTCCATAGTACACTGATAGAGATACATTGTTTATACACCAAATTAAAGTAAAAAGTATGTATAGTTAGAGTAAATACTGTTCATTATTGTTCTTAGTTAAGCAAGCAATAATTACTAATTAACATAATCTTCACTGAATATCGTACCAAAGAACCTTTAAAGCAGTGAAGCTCAATCAGTGTTAGAGGTTTAAAGTTGAACATTCACATAACTTCTCGAAACTAACGTTGGCTTTTCAAAACTGAAGAGACCATTATTTTGAAATCATAGATGAACCTCTTATGGTATCTCTTTAAAAATTTTAGTAGGACTTTACGACACTGCGGAAATACGTTTTTTAGGGCATGATACAGTGTTTTACTGGTCAGCGGACACCTTAACGAGACCATAAAATGCCAATAACTTTTACAATGTTATCGCCATGAGTCTAGTCGATAGTGTAAAAAGGCAAAACTTAGAAAGAATACTGTAAACTTAGCTTTGAAAATCGGCTAACCTTTTGAATAGTTCTTATACTCAATTACATATTTTGCCAAAGCCGAACTGAGGTTGCACACAACAATGAAATTGTCGTTTTTTGTTGGCGGCTCCAGGGCAACTAAGTTTTGTTTATAAAAGAGCTTACGCACTAAGGCTAAAAATGAGACAGTTTTTGAATGGCTGAGATGGTGATATGAGGACGTTGCATTACCAGGTTTGTAAAGCAGTGGCTTGAACCATATAAATTGGCATGTCAACGGCATTTTGGTCAGATCCGTCGAGAAGACAAAACATGGGTACTCGTGTAAGTAGCATGGCCATCCTATCCCCACTCGCTATTAATGAATTTTGTATCAAGTTGGCCAAAACAGTTCTACAGTGGGACACACTGCCATAACGTGTGAAGGATTGAAGCCCCCAAAGTACAAGAATTAGTCTCAAAGAGAGGAAGAATAAACCTAGGTATGTTCTAAGTACAAAATGTCCATTTTAATGATAATGAAAAAAGTTTTCACTTTCCACCAGTTTGTTGCTGTTTTCTGAGCAGCAAATATTTTACTTTCCCAACAGGCATTTGTTTCCCAGCAGAATTATGGATAATTTGTAGCATGTTTTCTTTTTACGCTATTTTTCCTTCTCTAATTATTCCATTTTCTTTCTTTCTTTTTGCTTTTTCTTTTCTTCCTTTACTAGCCTACTGCCACCTGCAACATAAAATGTACTGAGATAACAGAATACCTCTAGTTTATTTAGTTCCCTGATTCACAAAGTTACATTACCATCTTGGTAAGAGTAGAACACAAATTTTTAGTAAACAAAAGTATTTTAAAGTAAAATAATCATTAAAATTTAATTTTATTTATTTATGTGAGTAAACCATTGTATTGTCTTTTCTTGTATTGAAACATCCTTGAATGAATCAACTGTCTTCTAAACTTGATTTCTTATATCCAGAAGCTGTCTGAGATATGGAACAAAGAACTCTTGCCTGGTGTTCATCAAGGTGATGATGGTGGTAGCAAAGAAGATGATTAATCTCCCAAATTAGAAATGTTAAGAGAAAATTATTAGAATTCAAGACAAACCTGTTTGTTAAAAATGTTTAGGAGAAACTTGATTAGATTAAGTTAGCTGTCAATTTCCAGTCAACACTAGGTCATGGGGAGTAACCAAACGCTTGTAATTAGCCTGTGTACAGCTGTGCCCATCTGGTCAAATAAAAATCAGGGAATGGATATTCCCCAACATGAACAACAACAGAACCACACAGACGTCCTTTTCCCAATTTAATACAGAGGAGGGGAGCAGTTGTATGCAGGCTATTTGTAGTCAGTAAGCAATTCTCAGCTAGTTTCACCAATATGCATATATTTTGCCACCAGGTTCTATGATGTCTTGAAAAAAAAAAAAGGTTACCAGTCAAGTAGGAATATTTCCTAACAATGTTCTGTGGGGATATGATGTAATATTACTGATGAGGATCATAATTAACTCCTTACAGTGGTTCAGAGCTTGTGATGTGAGTGATTCCTTAAGCACATACAAACTATGTAAAGCAAAGCAAAGCTAATCTAAAAAAAAAAATAAATGAATGGAAGAAGAGCACCTGATTATTTGCATAAATTAACACAATGCACATGGTGGCATATACATTAGGCAAACATACATGTGCCTGTGAAAGTTTCAAATGACTGAGTTATAAAAAAATAATAAAATAAACCAGTGGATTTTATTGAAAACACTTTCAGGTGAACAAATACAGCTCTTTGAGAAATGAAAGTAGCAGTTGTAGTAACAGGTACAAGCAAACGTACTAAAGACAGGTAATAGAGATCTCCAATCAATTGACAACAATGAAGACTTCATACAAGAAAATGTGTTAATAGGGCCATCATGTTGGACGGTCTCAAATATCACATTTTCAACGCCCTCAATGAATCACCTAATCACTCTTTGTCGAGCCTTGGTCTAGCAAACAAATCAGAATTTTTCCGATTTCCACTCCCTTTGTAAACATCACCATTATATGAGCTTAAATGGGTGTTATTCTCTTCACCAGAGATAACTTGTTGATAAAACTGCAAGTACATGAAATGAACATAATATTATGTTCAAATTTTGATTATGAACAGCAACCACAAATAATTGATTTCAACTGTTCTTAAAGGCACAGAAAATCAGAAAGGTGAAATGGAGAAAACCAAGTCTACATAGGCGAACTCTTCATCCAAGCGAGTGATTTATAAAATGAACAGGCACCGCATGTCGAAGCAAAGTGAGCGTGAATATTTTCACAACACAACAATTACCTGTATCGCTTCATGTTAACTACACTTAAAAATCCAACCAGTCTTCAGACTCCCTCGGAAAGTATCTTGCAGAACCTATCTTCTGCTTTGTATGGATAACTATCACTGTTTCTGACAATTCTGAAGGTGAGGGCTACTGAAGAAACACGATTACACTTTATAATGACAGTCAGCTGAAGTCAGCTGAAGTCAGCAAACAGCACACAACTCCAAACAAAATGACTACTCAGTACTGCTATTCATTAAGACGCGGTGTTAGTATTAAAAAATTCATTCAGAGAATCAATTCTAACAAAAAATGAGTATTATGGATATGTTCCAACTTAGACCAAGCAAAAAACCGTTATTTTCATCGAACTCACACAAGTAGCACATCGAAGTGCTTGGCAGCCTAAAGTTGACGACCACTGACCACTGTGACGTCATCTAAACGTATTTCCGTGGTGTCAGACTTTCCATGTTCTTTTAAATAATGCTTGAGTATAATTATCATACATCCTACATGGACTTTTGGGAGAAAAATATTTAGATGGTGTTTTTTGAAGTCGTGCATCCAAGACCCAGTCTAACAGGTCTTAGCCATATGATTTAAACATACAAAAAAAAAAAATACAAAGAGAACCACTTTTTGGCTTAACTACATGCAAATCTGTAGATCACCATAACCACTGCTTGACAACCAGAAGGGATTTCTTTTAATAAGCAATCAGAACCTCCAATACTCTATTTAACTTGATTTACTCACCAGGTCAGCATCTAGGCCATATAGACAATGCCTTGTGTTGGGATCATAGTCAGGGTTCACTCTCTCAGACCTGATGAACTCCATGATTTTATGCTCACCCTCACCAGGTGTCTGGAAAGGATAATTTATGTTGCATTGAATATCAAATGAAATAATTTTATTTTACACAGCTCAAGGATAAGCATAAGAAGTTAGGGCACAAAAGTTTACCACTTGAGTAACTACACTTAATCATATCATTCAGTAATAATGATTATTTTTATCTCAGTTCATGAGCGGTTGGTATTCTACAAATCCTGCCATCAGATTGGTTCCAAGAGTGGGCAGTATTCTCCCATCTGGCCTGCTTACAGTGAGCAGTATCCTATTAGTTACATGTTGAGTCGCCTAGTACATCCTTGACTTCATTGCAACCTTTCATAAATAAATTTTGTTTCACCTGCTGGTCAGCATTTGTAAGCAGAGATTTCAGTCACAACCTTTAACCGATATATATCTTATTAATTCTCTCCTCTTTCTCTCTCTCAAAAAGAAAAAACTGGTTTGGTACCAAACGTGTTTCTCTAATAGATTGACATGTGGCCTACAAAATTGTTTGTAATTAAATAAAACTTCAAAAAAGGTAACTAAGAAAGTTAAAACCAGAGGTATTGTACTTGCAGTAAACAATTAGTTCTATCAATGCTATTTTCATTCATTCAATATCAGAATTTGTTGCAGGATATTGAACAAAGGTCTGAGTTCTACCATATATAAACCTTTGCTAATTCTTTACAAGTTCCAGACATTAATATTTCTACCATACATTTCACAGTAGAAACCAAAGAAATTCAATGACTAAAAGTCACATTACATCCCCTTGTTTCTAGGTAGAAAAAACATGTTATTTGACTTTAATTTTTCAGCAAAAGAAAGATTTTACAGACATCAGTACACAGATAAGACTGTTTCAGTGAAGCCTCTCTTTTTGAAGCACATTACCTCTCTTTTTTCTTTCATCTCCTTGCTATGAGTTACAGCCCTAAGTTATTCTGGTTCTTTTTACAAGCATTTAAGTTTAAGAAAAAAATAGAAATGCTATACACTATCCTGGGTTGGTATGTATTGGGAAAAACTGTGCCCTATCTTGTGTCCTATCACTGCCTCGGGCGGTATCCAAGACATAGGGCACAGTTTTTCCCAATATAGACTTCCTGGCTGGTGAATAACATGCTTACTTAAAAAACTGATACAAGACTACACAGTGATACCATACCACTGAGGAGCACCACAGGCTCTTGTTATTTACCAGACAAGAAAAAAGAACTGTGACACAATTTAATGAAAAATCTAGTGGTTAATACCTCATGTCCAGACAGATATACTCTTAATCCTTGCCAAGCAGGATCAGTAGAAATCTTGTAACTAACAAAAAACTTCAATTGCTCATGGAGTCTTACCATAAAAGGAGTACCTAAGAAACACACCATACACACTACAGTTTAATAAGACAAACTATAACTCTATATTCCTCTTAGAAAAAAATCCTAATTAATACATAAGTCAAATTTTTATCAAAAAAGATTTCAAATTAGTGTAAAAACTAAGCAATGATTGAATTTATCAGTAGTTTGAAATACAAAATCACAAGAAGAAGAACAATTTAACCCACAATAGACACGATTACAAGCACATACCAGGGGTAATACAATTGGAATCAAATCTTTCTTCTTCCGGTAGAACTTGGCCCTTTTCCAAAGCTTTACGAATTTTGTCTTCTGCCTCTTTAGCAGACCTGCAGGTAAACAAGAGAAAACCATAGCCAACCAAATATCTAGAAAATTCACTGACAAAAAATTATGTATCTACTGTGTACACCCTGTAGCTACGTATACATTTATAAAAGACAGATATGTAGAACTCTGACCTTCATGAGAAGAAACACTCCAAATAGGAAATAAGTTTTATTCAAAGTATACAGACCTAATTATACATTTAAACTATTACCGAAAACGACGTCCTCTTTGTTGATTCATTTTTGCCCGAGGAGCCACACCATCAACAGCCATGAAGAACACTCTCTTAGGTTTAATGATACGGAACAGCACCTAGGCAAACAATTTTAACAAACTTGTATAATTATAAAGTAACTGTTGTGAACTAAACTTTTATTAAGAATCATTTCCCAAGGCCAGTATATTCTTCATTGTGACACTCGCCACGACAAGCTCAATAGTGATACATATAGTTTACATGTAGTCCAAACATTTGCTTTTTGATAAGTACCCTTTCCTATGTAGTCAAGGGGCTAACTCTGAAAAAGGCCTTATTTAAAGAGATGGTTCAACCCACCCGACAGAAAAGGTCTAGCAGCGGATTCTTATAGAAGAATAACTGCTCTTTAATACTAGGTACGATGTAGTGCTGAACTGTGGTACCACTAACAAGATAGATGGGGGTCTTGTTCCAAATTTGGCTTTCAACGTAGAAATAAGGCTTAACCATTTTTCGCCTTGTAAACCTAATGACTCTTATCAAAATATCCCAGAAAACACTTTAAGGTGTTACAAAGTCTGCAGCTTTAATTTGAGTGATTATGAGCCCCTAAAAAAGGTCACCTGACATGTCACGTGACTACTTCTCGTCACAAATTCACTTTTTAAGCCAAATCTAGCAAGTTTCAATTCTTTCAAATGCCCAAATAACCTATCCTTTTATCCTTAAGCCTTCCAATACAAAATGTAGGTCTACTTCTGTCAATTTGTGCAAAAGAAATCCACCTGGATACACCAACTTGAAAGAAATAAGGGAAATACCCGCATGTCCCCATTTCAATAGTCGTCAGCATGAAAACAAGGCTGAGACCAAAACAAGCTTAAAACACGTGAAATTTTCAAAATTAAACACAGTTTCAACATGTGACTTTTTAACAATAAGAGTCTCAACCAGTGCTTAGGCCTCATAGGGCTTATTTGTTGCCATGGTAGCAGTTACCATTGCTAATATTCACCAATTTTAATTTTTCTGGCATAAAACAAAATTCGTTAGTAGTTAGAACGTGATTTCTTGGTTTGAGAAAGTTACAGTTGTATTGAGTAGTTGGGGACATCATGGTGAGGGG